GTCCCCCCTCAATCAGCCATCACTGCCCTCAGCTGTGTCCCCCCTCAATCAGCCATCACTGCCCTCAGCTGTGTCCCCCCTCAATCAGCCATCACTGCCCTCAGCCGTGTCCCCCCCTCATTTCCCCCACTGCCATCACCCACCCCTCACCTCCCCATCCTCGCCCCCATTTCTCGCACAAGCTCCCTCCTTTTGCCAAGGAGGGTGGCAGGAATTGGGGTGTCCCTTTCTGAGGGAGGGTCCCTGTCACTGAGCACACACCTCCACTCACCGGAGCAATGTGGGGGCTGCCCAGTGGGGTGTGACTGAAATCAGTGAAATTTCAGCTTGGTTATTAGGGGGGAAAAAAAGGGTTATAGGGGGGAAAAAAGCCTTGCTTGGTGGGAGATGCCTTTGGTTGTGCAAGAGCCTCCATCCCTGGTGGGGGGTCAGATTTACACAAAAACTGGGAGATGACAGAACTTGGCTGGTCCACGGGGATGGAGACAGGGACAGGATGTCCCTGTAGGTCCCTGTGGGGCTGGAATTGTCACCCACTGCTGGGAGGTGACCCCGCCGAGCCGGGGTGGCCCTGCTGAGGGGGTCCAGGGGTGCCAGAGGGTTTGTCCCCGTGCCCCCAGCCCGTGCAGGAAAGCCTGGCAGCCTCACAGGCAGCACGGAGCAGGCTGTGACCCACTTAACCAGGTTTGTGTGGGATTCGATTGTGGCTGTCGGATCCTTTGCCGTGATGGATAACCAACTTGGAGGGAATTCTGCTCTCGGAAGAGGTGCCAATAAGTAAAAAGCATAGATTTAATTAAGCAGAGTGTAAATTTCCTGGGTCTGTGCTCTCACAGAGGTGCAGGCATCCAGTGATGACGCTGCCCCGGGTTGAAGGGAGAATCGAGTCAGGGAATAACCCACTGAGGGCTTTCATCCTCTCCAAACTGCATCTGAAAAATGGTTTTTAAAGCTCCCCTCCCGGTATCTTTGTCAGGCACTAAAACAAAGGCTGCACCGCTGGTAAAATTCCAATTCCTCTACCAGGCAACCAGACACAACACACCCAGGGGTGCTGGGTTCCTTTATGATCCCAGGAGGGATTGAGGCATCCTTCCCTGCTGCAGGGTGTTTGGAATATTCCAGTGCCCAGCCCTCACCTGGCTCTCTGCAGATTCCCACCTCCAAGGTGTGCCAGGGAGCACGACACACCCGGGAATAACCCAGCTTCCACTCTGTGCCAGCAAATCAAATTGAAAAATCAAATTTGGGGGAAGCGAGTGGCATTCAGTCCTTCATTTGGAGTTAATTATTTTTTAAATATAGCATTATTTCAAGCTGTATGGATTCAGCCCCATCTGTTTCTAACAGCCATAATCAGTGCTGGGTAGCAGAGTTAGAGTTTTCAAGGATGAGAATCCATAAATATTAGTTTTATGCTGACAGCTAATTACTCTTCAAACAGAGCCCTTATTTCTTAAAAGTGCCTACACTTCTATTTATTCAGAGAGAGAGAAACAAATATGGTGCTGAGATATGAGGCTGAACACGCAAAACAAGGGAGGGTGGTGCAGCCTGGGGAAGAGATAAGGTGTGTCTCTTTTTGTTAATCAAAAAGACAAGAGGAAAACAAACCAGCAAGGTTAGAAGACAAAATGCTGCATAAAAAGAAACAGATGGAGGAAAGAAAAAGAATTTCAAGGAAGAAGTGATGATACAGCCTTTGGATTAGCAAATGTTGCTCAGATGATGTGAGATGCCAGCAGGGCAGGTGATGGCTGTGCTGAGGTGTTTGCAGGAGCTGCAAGTGGCTTTTCCCTCCTTCCTCCAGAGCTTTCAGTCCTTTTCAGCTTGCTAAAACGAGTCCCAAACTGTCCTTGTGCTGGAAGTTTTGTTATTTTCTTTGCCTTCCCTCAAGCCATTCTCACAGGTCAGCACCTCTGTAACAGGGAGGAGGATGGATGTGGATGGGATTTGTTGATATTTTCCCCCATCTTCCTGCCAGATGAAAGCCAGGAGGAAAAACTGGTGCATGATCAAAGATGCCCAGAGGTGATGCCCGGCCTAGAGACTTTCTGTTTTCCACAGGACCCTTGGGTGTGAGGAATTGCAGCCAGGAATCCGAGCTGGTGTCCATTCTTTCCCACCACCTCTGGGCTGCCTGGTGCTTCAGCTGAAGAAGAGGCAGTGCCATGGCTTTTCTGGCTGTTCTGTGTGCAAAGTGGCAGCTCATGGAGCCCTGCTGGACCTTCCCTGCTTAAAAAAAGTAGAATTTAGAGCTGGAAGCCTCGTGGCCTCTCCCACTCTGTTGCTGTTTGGGAAAGGCCTTTGAAGCTGAGGAGCAGGAGCCAGGCTGGGCTGGATCTGCTGGGCTGATGTGTGTGTGCAGGTAGCTTTACCTAAAAAGACAAGTCCAGGGTCAGTTAACAGTTGTTTTCTTGAGAAATAAAAAAAGAGAGCACCTGTATTGCAACAGCCTTTGCTGCTAAAGGTCACTGGTCACCTGGAGAACGGCCTGGGATCCACTGCTGTGTGTTCCTGTGGGCTGGGGCACTCTGACCTTTCCAGGAAAGCTGCAGAAAGCCAAATAACAAATCTCCCCATGCTGCAGGTTGGGAAATTTTGGAAGGGATTATTCATCTCTTAAGATGACCTCTGGAAAAGGTATTAGTTGTGTAATTGATCAGTCAGGCATGGCTTTGGGGATTAGCTGATTTTTTTTACATGTGCCAAATACAAATCACTGATGCTCAGGAGAAAAAAGAGAAGTGGTTGTAGCTGGAGAGTGACTGCAGAAATGCCACGGTGGGATTCCATATTTATTTGCTCTCAACAATTTCCAGATCAAATTGGCTCAGGGAGAAGTCAAAATTATTTCCCCTCCAACTGCTGCCTCTGCAAACTCAGCCTCAGATGTGAGGAAATCAGACCGTGTGGTTCCTGCCTTCTGCATCATAACCAGTAATAAAGATTTTGCTGGTGGAGCTGAGCTGACAGTTTTGCTGATGATGGATGGAGCCAAACAGGCTGCTCCTTGCTGCACTCCTGCTGCCTTCGACTCCTGGATCTCATAGGTGGGGGAGCAGTGGGGAGCCAGGGAAGAGCATTTCTTTAAGGTATTTTTATACCAACCAGTGCTTAAACACAACCACAGGAACCAGCCAGAGCAGCAAGTTCATCATCAAATACTTCCTGCTCAGTCATGGGATGTGAGAAAAATGGGAACAGAGATTTACTGTTTTTTTTGTCTTTTTTTTTTGGGTGCAAAAGGCATGTTTCCATGTCTGAGGTGTGGGAATGCCTCATGCCTGAACCTGACAGCGTCCTTTGTCCCTTTCAAATGAGGGAATGTGTCAAATCCAGGCAGGGATTTTTCCCTTGGATTTGACACCCACATTCATTTCCTCTGGATTAGTGGTACCAAAGCCTGTTTGTTTTATCATCCTGGCTTTTTCTGCCATCTCCAGCTCCACCTGCCTGTCCCCTGTTCTCTTCTAGCACAGCTCTAAAGATGTATTTGCTCTCAAAAATCAGGGGGGGAAGGAGGCACCACAGCCACTGTACACAGCATCACTCTGCACATCAGCAGGTGGATCAGTCTTTCAAACACAAATAACCTGACACTTTATCACTAGAAGATAATTAGCAAGAGACAGGAATGTTATCAGGAGCTCA